GAATAAATAAATAACACTTTAATATCATTAGAACTTACAGTTTTTATTCATTTAGCAATAATATAAATATAAAAATTATAAAACTTTTATTTACAGTGAAATATATTGTATTAATAGCATGTTGTAACCACCCCAATGTTGCAACTGTCCCCAGCCCCAGGGTCAGTTGCAACATCAGACTTTTCATTTTCAAATGCAAATTGTGAAGAATGTACATGCTTTAATCATCTTTATATGTTTTGACTATTAACAGACAGATATAAGTTTATTGTATTAAAATTTGGTTTGTCCATAATTCAAACCATCTCTAAGTAACAGAGTCAAATGAAAAAAGTGTTGCAACTGTCCCCAGTCTCACCTACATGTGCTGTCTAATGTTAGCTAGCTGTGGTGACCATCTTCACTTGGTGGGTTGACTTCAAGCAATAATCAGCTGTAGATGTAAAGCTAATTATTACATTACTTACTGAGAGTTTAATTGCATTCTGTTCAGCGGCTCATGAGATATTTTGGTTGCACACACCAGAAAAAACATAATTTACAATTACACACTTTTACCATTTAAAATTCACAAATCTGTTTAAATTGACTGCTTCAGCAGTGACTCTAAGCAGGTTAATTGGTAACTCGAAATTATCCCTAGGGGTTGTCTCGTTTGTCTCTATGTGTCCCTGTGATGGACTTGCGACCTGACCAGGGTGTACCCGGCCCATCGCAGAGTGACTGCTGGATATGGGCACCAGTGACTCCGTTGACCCTGAAAGGAAGAAGCAGGTAAAATATAATGGAGGGATTTTCTAGTTCCGATTACAATAAAGAAAATGGATAACTGGATGTAGTTTTAGACAATGAACTGAGTTGAAGGCTCAAACCGGAACCTTTTAACAAGTCTCACTGCAAATTGATTCATAACCCAGAGTTAGAGTGCTGAGGAATAATATAATATTCTGGGTGATGCGTTTAGGGGCAGTGAATAATTAAAAAGTGCAGTCATAACCCGGCACAGAAACACTGCCGTGTAATTCAGCACAATTCATATGCTCAGTTTCATCTGAAAATACTGCCGGCGGCGATGCCTCCAACTCAACCACCCATCACCTCTGAACCAACCCGATGTACCGACCGCAAGACCAACCAGTCATCTCTCTGACACTGACCCGGCTCACAACGCCTCGTTTTAACAATGCACTTCACTCCCCCTTCAATCATCCGCTCCGGTTTGACGAGAGATGAGGTTAACTACAGCTCATTTCCAGGAGTCGCCAGGGCCAATTATATCAGCCCTGACAACTTTCCCCAACCTGAGCCCTGTGGAGTGGAAAATGCAGTTCCACTGGCTGCATCACCGGGGACAGAACAGCATGGAAGTGTCTGGAGCCTGAGCCAGGAGCGGGCCAATTTGGCATGCAGAGGTCTGTGGAGAATAAGCCTGATGAAATATATATATGGTCTTCTTCAAACATGTATTGTTCCACACGGCTGTGGCTCATCAGGCTGCCTCGCTCCTGGTGTTTTCCAAGGCTTCGGCAGAGCTAAAGTTTACAGACTGTAGGGAACAGATGCATCGTAATGAAATTTATCTCTCATGTGCATACTTCAGCAGGAAGAACAGTTTGATTTGGCCTGCGAGTTAGAAATAAAGTGCAGCGTAACAATCATAGGATGACTTTCCTTTTGAGTTTGCTCAATCGTAAGTCTGATGTCTTTACAAAAACAAAACAAAAAAAGGAACAGTTTGACTTTAATTCTGAGGATAAAGAACCTTTTATTCTGCTTCTGTCTGTTCAGAAACAAGTGGACAGCGCTGACCTCTGTCTGTCAGTCCTGGAACTGCACACTACTGCGGAGCCACAATGCTAACCACCAATTCAGCACTATGGATTAGTGATTAGCAAGGTTGCCTCACAGCAAGAAGGTCCTGGGTTCAAGATCAGTTTGGACTTTGGGTCTTTCTGTGTGAAGTTTGCATGTTCTCCTTGTGTTTGCATGTATTTTTTTTCTCCATGTACCATTTTCTCACAGTCCAATGACATGCATGTTGGTCCAGATCTCCCTTCAAAAAAAGATCTGAGATCTGTGATCTCAGTGGGATTTGCCTGATTAATTTAAGATAAATAAATAGCACCCAGGTTTTGCATTAGACAATAAAAAAAATAAAATAAATAATAATCATAATAATAATAATAATAATAAGAAATATTTATTTTAGCTGAGATCAATGTCTCTGTTAAAGCAGGTGTTATCAGGACAAAATGCACTTAAACAGGTGAGACATAATTTATTAACCAGTATTGTAGTTTATACATTGAAGCAGAGACAGCATTTCAGTGATGGTGATTCTGTTGGAACCGCAGTCCACAGTAGCCACATGTGCCCACTTTTGTGTCCTTATCCTGCACAAAATCAGAAAAGAGCTTGGTTAGAATGTAAAAGTACTGGTAATTATTTACCATATGTCTTTATATTCTGTTTGTGAAATTTCAAAACTTTTCTTTCATCTTTTAAATTGGCCTCGACGTTTAGGGCTGAAGGTTGTCTTTGTATTATGGTTGCCAACCTTTTTTTTGTTTGTTTCATGCCTTATATATTCAATATTTCCTACAAGGTCATAAATGATTGGAACAAGCTCCCTACAGATCTGAAAACCAGCACAAAATATGGAGCCAATGAGAGAAACAAAAATTGGATTTTAAGACATCAAACGTGTCATCATTGGCATTTAACTTTTTAAAAATATTGTTAAGAGTTTGTGGTGTGCTAATGTTGCATGGGTTGACGTTTTGAATAAGTAGATATTGATGTTTCATATGTATTTGTTTTTATTGCGAGTTTGAATTTTATGCATTTAGTATCTGTTTTACCTGCTACATGGACTGCAGATGAAAATAAATGAACACATTAAAAGAACTGATTAATTTACAAGCAGTTAAAAATCAGCTGCAGCACAATATCTCTTCTTGTTTATTACCCACATCGGGGTTTCTCCCAATGTATTATTACTCTAGTGGGCCACCAGGCCTTACCGCCATTAAAAATGCTACCGTATCTTCCTGCTTCTCTTAGCCCTCCAACCCTCTTAAAAATGATACAGTACCACTCCGCTTATATCACAACCACCCCCCAGCCAATTTTATGGGGGGGGGGGGGGGGATCCCTGCACATCTTTAGCATTTCCTTGTCTGGTTTATGTAGTTTGTATGAGATCAACAGAACTGTTCAACATAGAAAACCTTTGATCAAATGACAAATCCATAGAATAGTGAGGCTTTTTTTTCCAACAGCTTGTCTATGGTATAGATACTGCATGTTGCAATTACAACAACATAAAATACAAAATAAAACAAATTTAGAAGCAAGTGTGCAAATAAAAGTCAATAAAAAAAGCAGTTACCAAGTTTATATAAACTTTGGGGTGTCCAAGAGCTCCGCCGCCTCCATCACACGACACCACTCTGGTCTCAACGTGTCTCACTGGTTCTTCTGCCACAAGCTTAATGGCAAAGTTCTTATTCACCTTCACAAAAACAGTTTTAAAAATGAGGTCGATTCTCAAAGAAAATGGAGGACACAAGAAAGTGAAAACACTTATTGTAATTGTGGCGTTTAAGTTTGCTATAGATGATTCTCTTTAGGTTCGGTGATGTCTGTAGAGCAGTTTGAAGAGAATAAGCTGGGGTTCATGGGAAGAGTTCAAACTAAACGTGACCAATTTGATTCCATTTCTCTCTGGAATCTGTTTGATAAAATCCAACCCAGCAAAGCCTCAATTCCTCCATGAGCAGCTGTGCCTCTCTGACAGCTTTATAAAATGTAGAACTACATATTTTATTCCTATTTATGAATAATAACTCCTGGATTCTGGTGGTGAGGTTTGAATTATTTTCACACAGTAGTTTGAATGCAGTGCCCAATTTTTATAAAGTTAATCATTAGGAATTGATCAATTTAACCAATTTAATTCTACATTATAGAGACACATATATTTATCTTTACATCTGTAATACAGATCAGATAGTTTGAATAACTGGATAGCTAAAACATGTGAATAACATTGACTTGAAACAACAAGAGGCTTTAATATAAAACAGAGGTTCTCAAACTGGGGTCCCAGGACCCCCAGGGGTCCGCAAGATGTATCTTGGGGTTCCTCAAAAAATTTCACAAAATTGTTAATTTGGTTTTTATTTTTAAAAATGCACAAAGAACAATGAACTAATAAAACAAACATAATAAACTTAATAAAAATATTTATCCACGTGGCATTTAGGGGTTGAAATGACAATTAATTATCTTTTAAAACAGCACGGGGTTTATGAGGGGGTCCCTGGCATTTTGTTGCCCTAAAGGGGTCCCCAGACCCAAATGGTTTGAGAACCCCTGATGTAAAAAGTAGGTAAAAGTTACTGATTGCCTTTAATTAGATGGTAAAGCTTTAGGGACAATTACAGCCTCCTTTTTTAGGACTTTTCTGAAATTTCTTTACGTTTCAAATAAAGCATATAGTCCCACAGCATGATAGTCTCTCCGACATGTTTTATTTGACAATCAAAAGAAACTTTGACACCACAGTTCTTTACTTTGGTTCTTGCCCTTTGCTCAATCAGTCCATGAGATATATCAAGTCCATGTTTTTAATAAAACTGGAAAGCTGAACTCAACTTCAATTTTCCTTCAAGCTCTTGCATATTTACCTCTTTCTGTTTTCCAACGAATCGGACTCTCCTTACGTCGTTTTCATCAAACACCTGGGAGAAAAAAAGAAAAGTTATACTGTGCTAAGATAACTGTTTTGCTAACTGAGATATGGTGCATGCATGAGACGAAATTTTAAACAAAACATCTTTGAACCTCAGACACGACTAAAAGAAAAGTTGTCCTGGAGCTATCGTCATCCTAAGGTTAGCTAACACGGATGCTCAGAAAACAATATAAAAAGATTTGAATTCGTACCTGACCGGTGTGAGTTATAGGTTCTCCGGTAGTTGAAACCTCTACACTGCTGCGGTGAACAGGTGTTGCAATGGTCCGCAAAGGTGAAACCAGTACCTTTGCGTTTCTACTGAAGGACAGAAGCCTGCCCGCTGCGGCCGCCATGTTTACAACAGCCTGACCCCACACAGCCAAGCAGAAGAAGAACTGAGAGAAATTAAGCCCGGAGTTTAGTCTGTTAGGTTCGCCCTCTTCTACAACATTGTTCCAACCCAAACGATCTTAGTATTTATTTTTAATGAACATAGTTATTACATATAATAATATAGCCTTAGTTCAAGTTAAAATAGGGTCTTATAGGAAAAAAAATGCACGTTTTCGAAACCAGTCAGGGAAGCTGCCTGAGAGTCCTTACTGAGGATAAAATAACCCAACAGTCCTTCGCCCCGGAAGCTCTTCGTTTAGCCTCAAAGGTTGATGTAGCACTGCGGTCCAGTGGGGTAAATAAAACGCTTTATTAAGAGATAAAGCGCCTACTTTGAATATTCCAGGTACTTTTAAAAGGTTTAAAGTCACTTTAGCTTCGTAACAGAACCATGTTATTCCCCGTAACTAATGTTTGAATGTTTGAGCCAGTTTAATGCCTGATTGTAGCGCTCATAGGTCAAACATGCTCGTCTCTTCAGAAATGTAATTTTATGAATGTGTTTAAATTATAGAACATGAAAACTTTGTAAATATGCCAGATTATTAAGTGCAATAAACGGCTTCGTTGTGAGGTTTAATTTTAGAGCAAGATTGACGTACTTTCAACAATACAAACATGATAGTTATTTTTATAAGGCAGCAATAGACTAAAATAAAAATACAGCAGATGTAACTCAAACACCGCAGTATAAATATAAATAAATTAATAAAACTTTAGAACATGATTTAAGCATGATTTAAGTTATACAAAACATGATTTAATTTGTGCAGAGCCTGATTAAAATTGCGCATAACATTGTTTAATTTGCAAGACATATAATGAATTGTGCAAAACATAATTTAACATGATTTAAATTGTGCAGAGCCTGATAAAAACTGTGCAAAACATAATTGAAGTGGTTCAAAACATGAAATAATTGTGCAAAGCACGATTTTTATTTGCGCAAAACTTGATTTAAAATGTGCAAAATATTTAAATTGTGCTAAACATGATTTTGTTTGTTCAAAAAGTGAATTAAATTGTGCTAAATATTTACATGGTGCAAAGCATGATTTTATTTGTGCAAAACGTTTGAATTGTGAAAAACATGATTTAAATTGTGCAGAACATGGTTTAATTCAGGGGTGCCCAACCTTTTTTGAACCAAGAGCTACTTTTGAAGTCGGCAGTTTTCCGAGAGCTACTCGTCCAGTCTCAGTATCAAAAAAAAACAAAACATAATTTTGTCTCCCTACTCCTCATTTCTTTAAAGTAAATAAACAGAAAGTAATGTGTTGCTAGTTTTATTTAATTTAAACTTTTGTCAAACAAAGCTATCTACTTAATCATATATTTGCCTACAAAAAAAGATAAAATCCTTACTTAACTCCTGACAGAGAAACATAAAAGTGATGCTTGAACAAAAAGGATCAATTTTTTTTTACCTCCTTCAGTTAGTACTCCCTGTAACGTGCGAGCTATGAGGGCTGAAAACCTGCCCATTGAGAACCACAGAGTCAAATAACTTTGGAGCAGGAGAACTCGTCTCCATTTATTCAAAGAACTATCCTCTCTTCTCTCCATACAGTGGGAGTACTATATCGCCCGCCAAAGCGCCTTTTTCGGCTGGTCGTTGGTTAATAGCTCCGCGGGGGAACGTCCCAGGATCTTGCAACCACCTCCAGTTTGTAGAGGAGGACCGTAGCTTTCCAAAGTCATCGCACTTTCCCGGATCCGATGCTCAGAGCCCGTGGGAGAAGCAAACGAAGGTTGAAATTTCCTCCCAAAAATGCGCGTACAATGCACTAAGTCGAGCGTAATTTGCTTATAGCTCCGCGGGGCAACGTCACAGAGACTCCATTCAAGTATTAGCTTGTAGGGCAGAACCAAAACCCAACCAGCCACTCTGGGATCTGATGCTCCTAGCCCGGGGGGGGGTGGCTAAAACCACCCCGGCGGGAGGTCCGACGGTGCGTATTTTGGAGGTTTTTTGCTTATTACTCCGTGGGGGAATGTCGCAGGGACTTTTTCATCATGTAGGGCAGAACCAGTGCTTTCAAACAAGACCAGCCACTCTGGGATGCGATGCTCAAAGCCAGCGCTAGAGGCTCTGCAGCAAGGTTGCGCTGCGTGGGCACCTGGGAATCAGCTGGCGGGCGACTGGTTGGACACCCCTGGTTTACTTTATGCAAAACCTATAGAAAAATGACAGAATCTATCCAGGCAGCATTTGCTGTAGTCAGATGTTGCCGTTTTTATTGACTGCTAACTTATATGGACTATTTTCTTCTCTGCCTCAGACATCATGGCCTCTGTCTTGCTGAAGCACCTGGCTGCCTCTCTGACACGGCAAGCGGCCCAGTTGAGCCGTTTAACTCCCACCTTCTCCACGCCATCAGGAAGTGCGTACAGATGTCTCTGCTCACTCACTGCTGCCCCTCGCTCGCTCCTCCTGTCCACAGCCAGGCTCAACTTCATCGTCTCCGCTCAGCGTGGACCGTCCCCGTCGGGTCAGCGTCAGCCTCTTCCCTGCGTCCAGCCCTCTGCAGGAATGAAAACCAGGTCATCTCTGAAGAGGCGCTGCAAAGACTGTTTCTTCGTTCGAAGGAGGGGACGCTTGTTCGTGTACTGCAAGACAAATCCCAGGCACAAGCAGAGGCAGGGCTGAGCTGTTGGAGGGTTGAGAAATGTGCTGTGGAATTGTTGGTATTTACAAAAACTGTGCAATCATAATAAATTGCCTGCTGTAAAGACAAAGTAGCTTTCGCAACCTTTCTTTATCCTGGTTTATGCATGGACTTCAGTAATGCAAAACGTTAGCCTTACTTGAAAATACACTTGATAAATACAACATTTAAACCCTTAAAAAACTTAAAATGGGGTGAATTCAGTTAAAATTTATCACATTTTGTTTTATCACAAAAAAGGTCAGCATTGTGCTCAGTTATTTTGCACATTGTTTTATGTCTATGCTTTTTTATTTTAAAACATTTGAGATGATAAATTAGAGTAAAATTGAGGTAAAATTGTCCGACATTCAGCGATTTCAGCTGAAGTTTTCACAGTTTTAGCTTCGATAGCAGCAAGAATCTTCACGGTCAAAAAAGGTAAATAAAATAGTATTAGAAATAACAGATCATAGTGTATGGTAAATCTTACATAAAAAAGTTTCCCTCACGCTTTGGTAAATTTGTTACACCTGCTTTAATTTTCATACGTTCGTTCACCAACACTTCAAACAAGTTACATCTGTGCACCATAATGTCAACAAAATAAAACTGCACACCATTAAAAACTTGTTGAACATCAACCAGAGTTGTGACAAGTGGGGCGAGGTCAGCTAGCTGCAAAATGTAGACAGATCTGCTACTTTAACCTGATATTGTCCCTTTGACCTGACTCCACCTTTTTTTAAATTTATACAAAATATTTAGTTTTAATCAGGAGCCACACACATCGTTACAATTATCGTTTTTTATCCTTTTTTTTTAATTGCTCCATAGAACAACATGCACCAACAGTACATCTGAGGGTGGGGGTGTGGGTGTGGGTGTCAGGGTCTTTATTCCCATCCCGTTCCCTGACTGCCATTTGGGGAGGGGGTCCTGAAGAAGGGC